GAACATGATGTAATCTATGCAGAAATAGAAGTATAATGATGTACACCTGAAATTTATACAATGTTATAAACCAATGTTACTGCAATAAACAAAAATTAAAAATAAAATAAAATAAAAAAGTAAATTGCAGAATCGACTTGAACAACCTATACCAGTTCCCTTCTGCCAATGGAATGTTCTCTGGTCACACTAATGGGGCTCAGGGCCTTGTGACCCCTCCCTGAACAGGAGCCACTCAAAACGAGAGGAGGTCCTGAGTGTCACCATACCTGTGTCTTTGGTGGGCCTGGTGCCATCAGCATAGAGGGTGCTCCATCTGAGACTGGCGAACGTTACCCAATAGGGGACATGGCCATGCTCTGGTAAGTTCCAAACTTTGACTCATTTTTAACTAGAGAAGTTTCAAGAATACCTGAAGGAGAAGTACAACATCTGGCTGTCTGAAAATATATCCAGAGCCAACATCTTTCCCCTCCCTGAGGCAATGAGGCACATGTGAAGGGGCTACCCTGCCCCACAACCACCCCCCATCTTGCCTGATCCTGTGTACCAACTCAGTTCCCCTTACCTCCAGGGGTCGGTGATGGAGGCAACGAGCTTGGGATGGGCAAGGTCAAGGAGGCTGTGAAGAGGCACATATGAAATGGGGATGTCATAGCCTGTGATGTGGAGGCTGACTTTGCTGTCATCGCTGGTGAGTGCTCAGATGGGCAGCCAGGCCCAAGCGGAGGGAACTGGCTTGGAGCCAGAAACTCATCTCCTCTGTAAGTGGAGTCTAGAGGGCACCAGGACAAGAAGTGGACCTGGTTTTCAGCCTTTGGTCTCTCCTTCAGTCATTCAATGAACATTTACTGTGTGCCAAGCATTGTTCTGGATACTGGGGTTACAGCAACAAGGGTCCCGCTCCACACAGCTCTCATTCTACTGTCAGGGGACAGACAATAAGCCCTAACAAATAAAATACCCCAGATAATGCTAGTGACAAGAGCTACAAGTAGATGAGAAAAAGTGACAGGCAGGCCACTTTAGATCAGTGCTCAGGAATGGCCTCTCTGAAGAGGGGTCCTCTGTGCTTTTGTCTGTGACTCCTGTATGGTGGAAAGGAAGAGAACAATCTGCCGAGTGTTTGGAGGATGCAGGAGGCTTCCCACCTCTCCTTTCACTTACCTCTGCCCCAGGCTGCCCTGCCCCTCCCCTCAGCTTCCCTTCCCCATCAGGACCCACCTTTCCTGCATCCAGGTCCTTCTAGGCCCCACTCTTCCTCCCTTGACAGTACCACAACTTTGAGGAATTTTGACAGATACCTGAGAAAGGCCGTCTCCCATTTCATCATCAAAAATAGCCTGGAGATGAGCAGAAACCTCTGGTACTAGTGCCAAGGTAGGAAAACCTGAACTGTAATTGATGAATTGCTGAAGGCTCATTGTGGACAAGTCTGACAGTTCAAAACTCCAGGGGACTCAGTCACAGGGCCCCCCCCCACACAATGCTTTTGTGAATTTTACCTCCAGGAGCTCTACCAAGTCTACATGGTGACTTTTTTTTTTTTTTAAGATTTTATTTATTCATTTTTTTCCCCCCAAAGCCCCAGTAGATAGTTGTATGTCATAGGTTCACATCCTTCTAGTTGCTGTACGTGGGACTCGGCCTCGTGTTGGACGGAGAAGTGGTGCCTCGGGGCGCGCCCGGGATCCGAACCCGGGCCGCCAGCATCAGAGTGCGCGCACTTAACCGCTAAGCCATGGAGCCGGCCCTACATGGTGACTTTCAGAGAAAAATCCCCTCAGGCAGGAGGAGGGGAAAAGGAACCATTCTGTTCTTAACAACATCTGCTTTCAGGAGAAACTGTTTGACCAGAGTCTAACCTACCTAGAGGAAGAAAAATACCCAAAAGTAGACAACGTGCAACAGCAGATGGATAATGTGAGCAGAGAAGTGGAAATTCTAAGAAAGAATCAAAAAGAAATGCTAGAGATAAAAAATACTGTAACAGAAATGAAGTGTGCCTTTGATGGGCTCCTTAGTAGACTGGACACAGCTGAGGAAATAATCTCTGAGCTTGAGGATATGACAATAGAAACTTGCAAAACTGAAAAGCAAAGAGAAAAAAGACTGAAAAAATCCAGAACAGAATATCCAAGAACTGTGGAAAAATTACAAAGGTGTAACATATAGGTAATGGAAATACCAGAAGGAGAAGAAAGAGAGAAAGGGATAGAAGGAATATTTGAAGCAATAATGAGTGAGAATTCTCCCCCAGATTAAGATCAGACACCAAACCATAGATCCAGGAAGCTCAGAGAACGCCAAGCAGGATAAATACCAAAAAACTACACCTAGACATATCATATTCAAGCTCCAGAAAATAAGCAATAAAGAAAAAACCCTGAGAGAAGCCAGAGGGAAAAAAACACCTTTTCAATAGAAAAGCAAAGACAGGAATTACATCCAACTTCTCCTCAGAAACCACACAAGCAAGAAGAGAGTGGAGTGAAATATTTAAAGTGTTGTAGAGAAAAACCACCAACCTAGAATTCTGTACCCTGTGAAATTATCCTTCAAAAGTAAAAGAGAAATAAAGAGTTTCTCAGACAAACAAAAATTGAGGGAATTTGTTGCTGGTAGACCTGTCTTGCAAGAAATGTTAAAAGAAATTCTTCAGAGAAAAGAAAAATAATATAGGTCGGAAACTCAGATGTAGACAAAGAAAGGAAAAGCATCTGAGAATAAATAGTAAAGGTAAAATAAAAACTTTTATTTTTATTTTTATTAATTGATCTAACAGATAACAGTTTGTTCAAAATAATAGTAGCAACAATATATTCAATCGTATATGCTTATGTATATACATGCTTATGAATGAAATGAATGACAGCAATAATAAAAGGGATGGGGGAAGAATTAGGAATATTTTGTTATTGTAAGATGCTTGCACTATCTGTGAAGTGGTATAGTGGTATTTTTGGGGGTTTTTTGTGGGTTTTTTTGTGAGGAAGATTAGCCCTGAGCTAACATCCATTGCCAATCCTCCTCTTGTTTTTTGCTGAGGAAGATTGACCCTGGCTAACATCCGTGCCTGTCTGTCTCTACTTTATATGGGATGCTGCCACAGCATGGCTTGACAAGCAGTGCATCGGTCTGTGCGTGGGATCTGAACCTGCGAACCCCGGGCTGCCAAAGCAGAGCACGCGAACTTAATCGCTATGCCACTGGGTCAGCCCCAGTATAGTGTTATTTGAAAGTGGACTTGGATTCATTATAAATGTATATTGCAAAGTCTAGGGCAACAACTAAAAAAAGTTAAAAAAAAAAGAAGTATTACTGATATACTAAGAAAGGAGAGAAAATAGTGTTATAAAAAAATGCACAATTAAAACCACAAAAGGCAGAAAAAGTGTGGAAGACAAAAATAGGAAAAAAGAACAAGGGCAACAAATAGAAAACTAACAAATATGGTAGATATTAATCCAACCATATCAATTATCACCTTAAATGTCAATGGTCTAAATATCCCAATTAAAAGACAGAGATTGTGAGAGTGGATCAAAAAACAAGACCCAACAATTTGTTGTCTACAAGAAATCCACTTTAAATATAAAGATACATATAGATTAACAGTAACAGGATGAAGAAAGATAATACTATACTAATACTAATCAAAGGAAAGCAGGAGTGGCTATATTAATTTCAGACAGAGCAGACTTCGGAACAAGAAAATGTATCAGGGTTAAAGGGGGCATTACATAATGATAAAGGAGTCAATACTTCAAGAAGACACAACAATTTTTAATGTGTATGTGCCTAACACCAGAGAGTCAAAATACGTGAGACAAAAATTCAGAGAATGCAAGAAGAAATAGATGAATTCACTATTATAGTTGGAGACTTTAACAACCCTCTATCAGAAATGGACAGATCCAGCAGACAGAAAATCAGTAAGGACATAGTTGAATTCAACAACACCATCAATCAACTGGATATAATTGACATCTGTAGACTACTTCATCCAACAACAGTAGATTACACATCCTTCTCAAGCTCACATGAAACATTTAACAAAATAGACCACATTCTGGACCATAAAAAACACTTTAACCAATTTAAATGTATAGAAATCATACCATGTCTGCTCTCAGACCACAAGGGAATTAAACTAGAAATCAATAACAGAAAGATAGCTATAAAAATCTCCAAATACTTGGAGATTAAACAACATACTTCTAAATAACACATGAGTCAAAGAAGATATCTGAAGAGAAATTTAAAAATATTTTAAATTAGATGAAAACAAAACATCAAATTTGTGGGATGTAGCAAAATCAGGGCTTAGAGGGAAATTTATAGCACTGAATGCATATATTAGAAAAGAAGAAAGATCTAAAATCAATAATCTAAGCTTCCTCCTTAGGAAACTAGGAAAAGCAGAGCAAATTAAATCCAAAGTAAGCAGAATAAAATAAATGATAACAGAGCAGAAATCAATGAAATTGAGAAAAGAAATCAATAGAGAAAATCAATAAAACCAAAAGCTAGTTTCTTTGAAAAGATCAATAAAATCAATAAGCCTCCAGCTAGGCTAAGAAAAAAAGAGAGAAGACACAAATTATTTTATCAGAAATGAAAGAGGGCACATAACTACAGATCTCATGGAAATTAAAAGGATAATAAAAGAATACTATGAACAACTCTATGCCACAAATTTGATAAGTGAAATACTTAAGTATCAATCTAACAAGATATGTACAAGATTTATACGAGGGAAACTACAAAACTCTGAAGAAAGATATCAAAGTAAATAAATGGAGAGATATTCCATGTTCATTGATAGGAAGACTCAATGCTGTCAAGATGTCAGTTCTTCCCAACTTGATCTATAGATTCAAGACAATCTCAGTCAAAATCCCGGCCAGTTATTTTGTAGATATCAACAAACTGATTCTAAAGTTGATATGAGAGGCCAAAAGGCCCAGAAAAGCCAACACAGTATTGAAGGAGAAGAACAAATTTGGGAATTGACACTACCTGGCTTAGCTACAGGATTCAAGACAGTGTGGTATTGGCAAAAGAATAGACAAATAGATCAATTGGACAGAATAGACAGCCCACAAATAGACCCACATAAATATAGTCAAATGATCTTTGACAATGGAGCAAAGATAGTCTTTTCAACAAATGGTGCTGGAACAACTGGACACCCACATGCAAAAAAAATGAATCTAGACACAGACCTTACACCCTTCACAAAAATTAACTCAAAATGGATCATAGACCTAAATGTAAAATGCAAAACTAAAACTCCTAGAAGATAACAGAGGAGAAAACCTAGACCTTGGGTGTGGTGATGACTCTTTAGATACAACATCAAAGGCATGATCTGTGAACAAAAGAATTGATAAGCTGGACTTCATTAAAATTAAAAACTTCTGCTCTGCCAAAGAAATTGTCAGGAGAGTGAGAAGACAAGCCATAGACTGGAATAAAACCTTTACGCAAGACATATTTGATAAAGGACTCTTATCCAAAATATACAAAGAACTCTTGAAACTCAACAATAAGAAAACAACAAGCCCAATTGAAAAGTGGGCAAAGGACCTGAACCGACATCTCATCTAAGAAGAAATACAGGGCTGGCCCCATGGCTTAGCGGTTAAGTGTGCGCGCTCCGCTGCTGGCGGCCCGGGTTCAGATCCCGGGCGCGCACCGAGGCACCGCTTCTCTGGCCATGCTGAGGCCGCGTCCCACATGCAGCAACTAGAAGGACGTGCAACTATGACGTACAACTATCTATGGGGGCTTTGGGGGGGAAAAACAAAAAGGAGGAGGATTGGCAATAGATGTTAGCTCAGAGCCGGTCTTCCTCAGCAAAAAGAGGAGGATTAGCATGGATGTTAGCTCAGGACTGATCTTCCTCACAAAAAAAAAAAAAAGAAGAAAAGAAGAAATACAGTTGGCAAATAAGCATATGAGAAGATGTCCACATCCCACGTCTCTGGTCTCCACCCTGGATTAGCTTTTCGGCTGGCACACCCAGAAGAGGAAGAAAAACTCTGCCCTCAGGCCTCCCAAGTTTGCTTGCTGTTGGTGGACCCATTATCTGCTGGTCTCCTTTATCCTGGTGTCTTGGATCTGAGTGGGAAGGGACCCTCTGGGCATCTCTTTGGAATTCCTCAGATTTCCTCAAGTTTATCTGCCACCCAGAATGTAAATTCTCCGTATAATTGATCAAATCCCAAGGCCTTGGCCAACTGCATCTCTGTTGTGGTGGTTTTAGCAGCAGGTGGAGTCCCCCAAAGAGAGGAGGTGATCCCAGTTGGCAATGAGGAGAGAGATGTTGTTATTTGGAATGAGAACTTCAGATGAAAATCTATGGGTTTGGGGCTGAACGAGATGAAAAGGAGCCCCTTGGGTTAGGATTGGGAGCTAATGGGACCTGAGGACAGAGAACTTTGTTCCTTCAGCTCAGTGTAGATGAGGAAAATTAAGGGCTTTGGAATCAGGCCGATGGCACCTCCATTCCCAAGCCTCGCTGTCCTCCCCCATAAAGTGGGTCTCTGTGAGGATTAGAGGAAACTCTTGTAAAGTTGTCCTAGCTGGCCCTGGGCTGGGTGGTCACAGCAGACTGCTGCTCTTGTTCCAGACTGGGTGGTCAAGAGGGGGCAATAGGCAGGCAGGGAGATCTCCCAGGAGAGTGAATTAGGAGACACAGCAGCCCTGCCCATCTCCATCCTTGGCTCTTGACACCTGGGTTGGCGGCAGCCCCAGGCTGGTCAGCAACTCGTCAGGCAGGTATGACTGAAGTGAGAAGAGGAAAGGAGGGTCCTGGCCCTCCACAGGGTCCACAAGCCAATGGTGCCCTGGCCCTAAAGGTGTGCTGTCCTGTCTTGTTGGGCATCTGCATAGAGATCAAAGTTTGCAGTGTGATTCACACCACATGGGGCCTATCAGGGCAGGGCCCCTGTACATGGGCTCAAGTCCCTGGTCTTGGGGTCCCTCTCAGCCTCATCTCCCTGATCCCCATTAGGTACCCCATGATCCAGCCATGCATGGCCACTGTCATTGCTCAAATACAGCATGGGTTTAATTTTCTCAATTGAAAAGATGATGTAATAACAATCCTATAGACATTCTGAAAAGGCAGGTAGTGAAGGGTGCTGGAAATACCATTATCTCTCCATAACACGATCGACATTTTTAGTTTTGCATATTGGCTTCTAATTCTCATACTTAATCCATACCCATTTTATATAATTTCTACTTGGTCAACCTGCATTTGAAATACTTCTCTTTCCCTTTTATGTTACCTCTCAAATATATTTTTATTTTCCACATTTGCATGGAGGTTGAGTATGGGCTCTTGAGTTGCACCACAATGTGGATATACTTAACACTACTGAACTGTACACCTAAAGATGGTTAAGATGGTAAATTCTATGTTATATGTTTTCTTACTGCAATTAAAAATATTTTTAAAAAAATAAAGAGTATGGGCTCTGGAGACAGCAGCCTCAGTTCACATCTCAGGTCCACACTTACTAGCTGCATGACCTTAGGCAAATTACTTAACCCCTCTGTGTCTGTTTCCCAGTTCTGGAAATGAAGATAATAATACCTATACCTCACAGCCTTGTTATAAGGACTCCAGGAGCTAATCCATGTAAGGCATTAGAACAGTGCCACACAATGTAAGTATTCAATCAAAGCAAATTACTCTATTCCATTGACCATAAGATGCCATTGATGACAAGAATTACCATTATTTTATGTACCACTAAGAAAGGAAAACACTGCCAATTACAAGTGTAAGATACTATTGATTGTAAGATGTATCTCAATTTCATAGATGTAAATGTAAAAAAAAAGTACATCTTAGAATCAGTGAAATACAGTATTATTACCATCACATGGTCTTCATCTGCCATATTTTGATATGCCTTGTATTTTCATGCCACATGCCTTTGTACTCACTGGCTGCTTGGTTTTTTGTCTATCTGAAGTGCCCCCACTCTTCCACCCTTCCTCTAGCAAATTCTACCCAGCCTATAAGGCCCATATTAAATGACCCCTTTCCTGTGAATGTTTCCTAAACCAGTCAGAATGGGTGCCCCCTCAGTGCTCCCATAATCCTCTGTGAACACCTCACTCACAGATTGTCCCCCACTGTGGTCAGCTGTGTCCACAATCCCTCTCTCCCCTGGTTGGGAATTCCTTTTTCTTCTTTAGCTCTAGCACCTAGAGCTTAGCAAGTCCTTAATCAAGCCTTCTTCAGCTGAATGGAGAATTCAAGCAGGTTTCAGAGAAGAACCAATGAGGTGGTCCCCCAACTGGAGATAAGCCCTTTGGGGCTGGCTGATAGAACAGGAAGGGGAGTGTGAGGCTGTTCTTCAAGCACATGAAGAGATGATGCAGCACAGCATGAAGGAGCTGTTACTTAGTCCCTGTGAAGATAGGTTTCCATGCAGCATGAGGGATTCAGGTCAGCCATAAGGGAGAGTTTCTTAATGTCAAGAGTTCTGGAATGGCTTCCCAGCGTTATACTAGCCTGAATCTTTTTCTCTGGTGGTCATTAACAGTACATAACCCAGATGGTTTAAAGCAATGATTCTCAAACTTTAACTTGAATCAGAACCACCTGGAGGGCTTATTAAAACTCAGTTTACTCCCCAACTCCCCGGCTGAGTTTCTGATTAAGTCTGGGCTGGGGCCCAAGAATTTGTGTTTCTAACAAGTTCCCAGGTACCACTGATGCCACCGGGCTTGAGATTGTTACAGAACACAAACACAGGTTTGTTTACCTGCCACACAGGAGGGCCAAAAATAAAAAACTGGAATGCCAGGCTTATGGCAAGGAAAGGGGCTTTTATTATCAAAAGGCAGCCAGATGAGGAGATGGGAGCTAAAACTCAGATCCACCACCTTGAAGGGAGAAAGGTAGTGGTTTTTATTTGGGGTTTTAGGTAGGCGAAGGGGAGCATGCGGCCTTGCTGGTTGGCGCCTTCCCACCAGCCTGCATTAGGCCTTGTGAGGCTGCTTGCAGGGAGGGGGATGGTGAGATAAGGGAATCAGCAGGTGGGTGTCCTTGGTTGTCTGCCTCCATGATAGATGGTGAATTCTGGCATCAGGAACCTGAGGAGTTGGTGTCCGGGAAGCTTCAGTTTCTTGATATTCTCTGGACATCAGTTTCCCTGTAATAAACTTCCAGGACCCATAATTAGCCAAAACTTTAGTGTGAGCCCAGCCTGAGGCCACCTGGGCTTTAACAATTTGTAACATCTATTTGCCTTGTGAAGCTCAGGGATACAAAGGTTGAAGGAACTGATATTTACATATGAATGTAACTAAAGAAGCAGGGAAAGGGGATGGGTGCTTTTGGTTTTAACCCCATATATGCTGGGTTTAATGTGGGAAACTGATATCAGGGCTGGGATCAAGAGCATTCTTTGAGATGAGTTCTGCTGCTTAGAGGCAGGGTGACGGATTGCATGACCCTTCCAATTCTGTGATGGAATCTTTTGTTCTAGGTGTTTCTAACTGGGGAGGCTACGCCTTGGCCTGTGCACTGTACATCCTGAACTCATGTGAGGTCCATGGACGTTACCCGAGGAAGGCAGTTGGGCCCTCCAGAGCATCTGGGGAGCAGAGCTGGACTCAGGCCTCCCATCCATCACTAAGGGAACGTACCCATGGAAGAAACTCTTTCCCTGGATGAAGAATAGGTATGGTGTTCCCAGCCATAAGCCAAGGGCCCGTACCACTACTGCCTGTCAACAGCCAGAGGCAGAGGCTGCCTAGAGGCAAAGGTCTCCCAGCAGGCAACAGCAGGACTGGATTGGGTGACCTTTGACCTATGAGTGATCCTAAATCATTGTGGAAGACCTGATATAAATGACCATTTTCCTTCTAGTCTGACTTTAGGCAAGTTGGTTAGCCTCTCTGAGCCTCATTTTCTTTGTCTGTAAAATGGGGGCCGTCGGCACTGTTGTTGGAAGAACTGAATACTTGAAGCACAGTAGGCACTTCATATTGGTAGCTGTCGGTGTCCTTATCATCCCCTTCCAAGGAGTGTACACCCCAATGAGGGCACTCGGTTGGGACAATTAGCCATTCCACAAAGTGTGAAGGTGTGGGGACTAAGGTGGGAAGAGGATCCTGTGGGCTGGAGGCTGAGAGGAATAAACCCAGTAGGAGGGGAGGCACCCCGGGTAGGAGAGATGGCAGGAACAAGAGCTGGGAGACGACGACAAGCTTTGTGCTGGTTTGGGGAGACTGCTCTTGAGGTGGAGGGCAGTTGATAGGGGGTGTGATAGGAGCGGAGGAGGGCTTCTGATGCCAAGGTTGACAAGGCGGGCATCCATGAACCCCCGAAGCAGTTTGCAAAATTCTTCCTATACATGGATTATGCTAGGCAAGGTCTGTGGTTTCATCGGATTCTTTTTTTTTTTTATAATTTTATTTATTTATTTTTTCCCCCAAAGCCCCAGCAGATAGTTGTAGGTCATAGCTGCACATCCTTCTAGTTGCTGTATGTGGGACGCGGCCTCAGCATGGCCGGAGAAGGGGTGCGTCGGTGCGCGCTGGGGATCGAACCCGGGCCGCCAGCAGTGGAGCGGGCGCACTTAACTGCTAAGCCATGGGGTTGGCCCTCATCGGATTTTCCATGTAGTCCGGGGGCCATTAAGAACCCCTGGGTAGAGAGAGATAGTGTAGCCGGATCCAAGAAAACCACGACTCCCTCACTGAGGGTTCCACTGGAGAAATGATAGGGAGCCATACAAGGGGTATATGAGCAGGGAAATCGGAGCCCCATTGGGTGGCTTGTAGTGTGAGCTCCCCTAACTACACAGCCAGCTCTAGCTGAAGGGCTGTGGGCAGTTCTAGGGATGGCTGCTGTAGACCACTGCAGGGGGAGGGTGTTGCACGCACACACGCACATCTAACTTATGTGAACTCACATACCTGTGCAGGGAAGATGCAAAAGAGAGAAAGCCAGCCCTGTAAGTGGTGCCAGTGATTCTGCTCCCAGTCCTGTGGCCTGAGCAGCGAGGTGGGCGGCAGGACTGGCCATTCCCTCCTCGGCCTCAGTTTCCACGGCTGTCGTGGAACAGGCCCTGCCCACTGATGCTGATTCCAGACTCAAACCCACCTCCTCATCTGGTACTCCTTGCAGAGCTGGGACTGCCCACCTGGGGGAAAAGCTGGTGGTGCATCAATCTCTTAACAAGGCACCTTCTGGGGAATTTTCCAGAGTAATTTGGATCATGGGAAATTGGGGCCAAAGCCCTGACTTGGCATCTAAATCCCAGGTCAGAAATGACTTCACCTGTGAGCTGACAGCTTCACCTGAGCTTTGCCTTCACCTGAGGGAGGCAGGAGGGTGGGAGGATGGAAGCGCCTCTAGAAACAGTGGAGGGAGCTGGGGTGTTCGGCCTGGAGGAGAGAAGACTTGGGGGGCCTGAGGCCTCACATACCCGAATGGCTTCCTGGGAGAGGGGGACAGACAACCCCCTGGGCCACTTGAGCAACAAAAGGAGGTCAAAAGGCAGCGGTTGTAGGAGAAGATTCTGGTTCGGTGTGAGGAGGAGCTTGCTCTCCTCAGAGCTGCCTGACCCTGCGAGGGCAGAGCTCTTTGACACAGGCCCTGGTCAGGGCGTGGGGAGGGGTTTCCCCGTGCCAGGTCAGGCTGTGCTGCTGACCCCAAGGCCACTCCCAGCCAGGCCAAACCAGTCTCATGCAACTTAAGGCCTCTCTGTCCCAGTCTTGTTCCCCAAAAGGCATAGATTGCTAACTGTAAAAAAAGAAAAAAAGTCCTGGAAATCAGGAACCAGGTCTTTTATATCTGCTTTCCCAGCAACTGATACCGGCTCAACACAAGGCTGACGTGAGGGAACCCACATTGTAGAAAAGAAACCCTATTGTAACTTGGAATGACCTCTGCCTAACTAACCCAGCTGGATACACACCCTCCAGGAGATCTAACTGCTCTGTAGATTTTAGGACCCCTGCTTGTGCATGTACCTCCCAGCTGCCAGAAGATGATAACTTTGTTCTTTTGAGTTCCTTAGGAATGTGATGACCCCCGAACAGAGAGTCTATGCTGATAGCCATCATCAATGAAAACTGCAAGATCTGGTGTGGCAACTCCCAGTCTGTAACACCCGAGGGTCAACATTCCTAATCCCCTCCCCCGTAACCCACTGGCCTATATAACTGCTGTCAGATCTTCTGCCCACTTAAGATGGTTCTTTTGGACATGAGTCGGCCTTCCCTCTTGCTAGCAAGATGTAATAAAAAGTCCTTTCGCTCCTACCTCCTTGCCTCTTGAATATTGGCATGTCTTGCAGTGGGCAGACAAACCCCCCTTTTGGGCGTTAACACAACCAGCAGAGGGAAACACAGTGATCTTTAAATGCTTGTTGTACAAATGAATGAAGGAATGAATGAATGAGAGCAGTGCTTTATTAGAGCAGCAGTTCTTCAACTTTGGAGGCATCAGAATCACTTCACAGGCATCTAAAACCACAGAATGCGTAGCCACCCCCAGGGTTCCGGATTCAGTAGGTCTGAGGTGGGCTGGGGAATCTGCATCTCTAACAAGTTCCAGGGAACGTTGCTGCTGCTGCTGCAGGGACCACATTTTGAGATGCTGGATTAGAGGGCTGGTTTCCAGCACCATAGAAGAGGATTGGTCTGGGGAGATGAGAAGGCAACCCCAGAGGCAGGAAGGTTCCTGAGCGTTGAGCCTGGGACAGCAGCTGAGATGGGGTGGCAGTTGTTACATGTCCCCCAGCCAACCAGCAGCTCCGGCCCGGAGCCCCTCACTTCTGAGAAGCATCTGCACCCAGAGCCCCTGGCTGCCTCTTTTCTATCCTCCTTTCACATTGTCGTGCACCCTGTCTGCACCCCTTTTCCTTCTGCCTGTCTCTCCCTCTGTTTCTCTTTTTCTCCCTCCTGCCCCTCACCCCATTTCTCTCCAACACCTGCCTGGATTGGTGGTATTCTCCCCATTTTACAGATGAGGCTCTAAGAGGGCAGGCCACCCAGCTAAGAGGCAGGGCCGAGATCTGAGTCTGGGTCTTTGACTCCATACTCTGGGCTCTTCCCAACAAGGTTCAGAAATTTCCTGGTAATGCCTGGGTGCCGTGCAGGAGGGCGAGGAACGGGGGGCGTGGGCAGCTGCAGTGCCATTTTCAGGGGAAATGGTCTGCCTGAGAGGGGCCCAGAGGGCCTTCTGTGCTTTCTTTGAACTTCCTGGATCTGAAATGGAAAAAACCACTCAGGGGGCTGCCTTACACATGATTCCTGATTCACACAGACGCAAACGAGTAAACCCAACCAAACAAATTCAACAGCCTGACACTTACCCTCCGAGGACGGAAAATTCTCCTCTCCCATTTCCAACCAGTCTTTCATAAATATATTAATAATGCGCCATTCTCATGAAGAAAATACAAGGGAACATTTTTTTTTTAAATTTTTTGTTTATTGCAGTAACATTGGCCTATAACATTGTAAAAATTTCAGGTGTACATCGTTATACTTCTATTTCTGCATAGATTACATCATGTTCACCACCAAAATACTAATTACAACCCATCACCACACACATGAAGGGAAAATTTTTAAAGCAAAAGTACAAACCCATGTTTGTGGAACCCCTGGGCTTGCTCTGGGAGACAGTGAGGGGTCCAACCTGGCCCCTGGGTAGGGAACTCAAGATCCACAGGGAGACGACACATGAAAGGTAACTTCAGGAGCCAGGATGGAAGTATGTGCAGCAAGCCACTGTGGGGACACAGAGAACAGGCACTTGGCTCATTCAGAGTTCAAAGAAGGCTGCCTGGAGGAGGTGGCACTGAGCTGGGTCTTGGAGGGTGAGTAGGATATAAATAGCCAGGTAAGGAAGGGTGGGAAGGGCCTTCCAGGCAGCAGGACCTACATAAGCAAAAGTACAGGGACATGAATCAGTGGAGTGTGCAGGGGAATGACTAGAATCGTCATACTAGAGTTCTGTGGGTCACCCGTGAGGGTCCCCAAGTCATCAAGAGATGCTGGGCAGAACTGTGGCCTGAGCTGGTGGTGAAGTTTGATTGGTTAGGGGCAGAGGAATGTGCCTCATTTCTATTCTGTGAGTTGCTTATAAGTAGGGCCTCCCATATTCAGGGACAGTTCTTAGGGGTCTGACCATGACTGTAGCAGGAGTGGGCACCATGCTGAGGAGCCCAGGGAAGGTGGCCATCGCCATCCAGGGCACACCCTGCCCACTCCGGCTCTTAGCTGTGTCCTGAGGTTAGAGCAAGTGGCTGAGAGAGCATTCCCCAGACCTTGTCAGCGGCCAAGAGTCAACTGACGACTCTTTATAGGAGGGACCAAGGATGGATGGATGGGTGGGTGGATGGATGAGTGAACGGATGGACAGAGGGACTGCTGGATGGATGGATGGATTGGTGGGTGGATGGATGGATAGATGAATAGACTGATGGATGAATGGATAATGGATGGATGGATGATACAGAGAGGCAGGAACATGGCTTCCGACCTTATCCTGGGCTCCCATTCTCTTCCAGCACTTTTATCCCACTCCACTTTTCCTTATAACTTTTTAAAAATTGAGATATAACTGACATCGAGTAAAGTGCAAAAACCTTAAGTGTACAGTGGATGAATTTTTACATGTGTATACACCTGTGCAGCCATCACCAAGATTAGAACTGATACAGAACAGTTCCAAGTTCCCAGGAAGCCCCTTTCTCCCACCCCACTTTGAACAGGACCATCACCTAACCATGAACGTCAGCCCACCATGCTGTCAGTGTGCATCAATAGTGACCACCCACACACTCAGGAAGTCATCCTGGGGCCTCTTTCCCCATCCACAGGGAACTAGGCCCCAAGCCCTGTCCACGCTGCTTCACCTCAGTCCTCTGTCCCTCCTCTCCTGCCCCACTGTCTCAGCCTGGACTGGTGTAGCAGCCTTCAGGTGCTCTGCCTCCAGCCGCCCCCTGGTCAATTCTCCTCCCCACGCCCCACCATCTCCACTGGGTGGGGCCCCCTTGAAGACAGTGTGGCCATTCAGTGATTCCTGGCAATTTGCAGGCAGTCACTGTTGACCCAGCTGGTCGCTGTGACTCTTTGAGGCTGGGTGCCCTCCCTGGGACCCAGAAGAATGAGATTGGTGGGGGCAGGCAGTGTGCGGGGAGGAAATGGGCCCATGGTCCCAGAGGCATTCTCCCATAAAGAGAGGATATGACCCAATGGAGGAGAGAAATGGGAGAATGAAGCCCGAACAAAGGGAGGAAAACGCCATTCTGAGCTGGGCAGCCCCTGGGAGGGGGCTGTGGGACAAAGAGCTCGCCTGGAAACGCCCTTGGGCCTCCCTCCACCTTGGCCCCTGGGGCAGAACAGAAATGCAGGCTCAGGCCAGCTGAGAGGAGAGACAGTTCCGGGGTGACATTTGCCCTCGCTTTCTCCATTGTTTTGGAAAGTTTTCAGTGAGTGCTCCTCATGGCCCTGGCTTGGCTCATTCCCGCTCTTTTGTCACCTGTGGTCCTAGGTGTCCCTCCTCCAGAAAGTCCTCCTTGAGCCACTCCAGTGAACAGGGTTGGCGCCCCCGCCCTGTGCTGTGATCCCCAGGGACTGACTGCCTGATAACTCACCTAGACTGTGAGCCCCCCCCCCCCCGGGGACAGTACAGTGTCATGTTCACTACTGTGTCCCTGGCTTAGGCCCTGGCACACAGCAGGTGCTCAGGAAAACCCCGATGGATGATCGAATGAATGAGCAAATGCCTGAGCAGGATGTGAGAGCCCTTCTCATATCTGTCCCAGTCTTCGTGTTGTAGACTCCTCTGTCCCCTCCTCTCAGCCCCCTCCCTTGTTTGTGGGGGAGGAGCAGGGGGAGGACGTACTTGACTGCTGCCCTCAGAACTGGGACAGACACACTGGTGGCTTAGACAGTGGTTCTTTGGGACCTTATTTTTGGAGGGAGAGAGAAGGAGGGGAATCAAATCACTTTCTTTTTGTAAATCAGCAAGTCAGTCAAAGGAAGACAGCTCTGGGCCAGAGGCCAGGGACCCCAGTCCTGCCAGTAATGAGCCACCTCATTTCATGAGCACTTACTATGTGCTAAAGACCATGCTAGGTGCTTCATTTGCATTATCTCATTTAATCCTCACAACAACCCTCTAAGGAGGCATTATCATTATTATCATCATCTTCCCCATTATAACAGATGAGGACACTGAGGCACAGAGAGGTTAAAACACCTTCCAGGAAAGAACCAAGTCAAATCTGTCTGTCTGATTCCAAACCCCTCTGCCTGCCGGGCCCTGGGCTGCAGCTTCAGGAAGGGGCTGCATTTTCTCCGTGGCCCTGCTCCCTCCAGATGCTCCCACATCCACACTGGGTAATTTCCAGAAGGCAACTGCAACAGGCCTTGGCTCATAGCCCCACAGGAGGCTGACGGTGGGGTCTCAGGAGGAACGGGGGCCTTCCTCCTCAAGTGTGGCTTTCCACATTCAAAGGCCAGTGGCAGATAACCAGAGCCGGGCAGGGGCTAGGTTAGCAGGAAGCAGCCCACACTGCACCTGCAGAAGGAGTGACTCTGCAGTGTTTGTTAACAAAATGCAGGTTTCCATAACAAACATATTATTTAGTTACATGAAGGTAACTACCAGAAGAAACAGCCCAAACTCTTCCAAGTGGCTGCTCTGGGAAGTGGGTTTGGAGGCCAATGAGGTGTGATGTAGGAAACTGTGGTTTTTCATTATGAGTGTTCCAGTGGCATTAGTATTGTTAACCAAAATTTTATTTTTGAAAAAGAGAGCAAGTCAAGCCAAACGCTCTTTCCCCACTTATAAATATATGTATTTCTTCCTTTTTCCTCCCCCTCCACTACTTCTATCTCTGCCCTATTTTTTCCCAGGAAGTAAAAGTGTTGAGCACCCTGGTGCGGCACAAAGTCCAGAGTGGAGTCTTGGGCATCAGGAGCGTGGAGGTGGACAGGCTGTCCTTCCACGGCACCCACGCCCAGGTGATCCAGAAGCTGGTGGACGTCACCACGGCGCCCGTGTGACCATGCATGTTACAGGCACGCGGAGTGCGTAGCAGATGGCCACACCTGGATCTCGGGAGGCGTTCCCTGAGGGGCCCCAACTTCTTTCCATAACAGCCTTGCAAATAAACACCAGCCCTGGGGGAGCAACACACTCTACACTCCCCTGGGACGCTGCGGGTCCACTTCCAGGGCCCGGAGGCAGGAGATAGCGCAGGTGATGTGGACCAAGGAATACATTTCTCCAGGGTTTCCAGTTTTTGCTTTTATTCCTAAAGTACTAGAGGCATTGATTTCAAGCCCCCTTCACCCTGCCTTCTTCAGGCCCCCCCACCGTGGTCTGCTCTGAGAGTCTTCTGACCAATCGCTTACGGGGACACCAGCAAAAAATTAACTGCCAGGCAGACACTAGAGTAGACATTACCAGAGCCATGAATAATCCCCCAGGCTAATTAAGAAATAGTAAAATGGACAAATGTGTATATTTACCAAGTCTGGGGCTTTACTAAAGGTTTACTCACCACCACCAACAGCAAAATATTTATGCCTTTGAAATGCTGTCTTTTTCCAACAGAGTTTTGTTTACTTAGACAAAAGATCCCTCGAACCTTACATTAATCACCATCACCTCCCCTCTGTCCCTCTACCTCCCTTCACCCCCACACTTCCTGAGCCCCCACCTCAGAGCCTGACACTTCTCCCACCTCCTCCCCATCTGCTCACCCCCAGCCCACAGCCAGACTCTTTGCCCTCCCTGCATAGGAGGGCAGCCACACTCCTGGAGCCCGGGGGTGGCTCAGGAGCTTCCGGGGCTCAGGTCACTCAGAGTCCTCCTGAACAGCTCCAGTCGGCTTGTCTTTATCTCTTCACAACCTCCCACTGCACATTTCCCAACAAAATCAGAAGCTGAGTCGCTGACCACAACCCATTACACTCCCGTATTGGACCAGACCAATATCTTGTGCAAGTTCACGGCTGAGCGAGGGCTGGCTCATCCAGACGGGGTAGTCCTGCTTCTCAGCTAGGGCCCCAAATGTTTCTTGGGCCTGCTTAGTTTTACTTCCTTAAACATGTCTGCTTTGATTCTTTACAGGGCATTAGTTGTAAAGCATGGGACATATGCTATAGAAATTACCTCTAAATTGTACACCCGACAGTGAAGCCTAGGTTTACAGTGAAGTGATCTGGGGTTAACTTCCGATGCTCCCTACGCAGGGGCGTGGGAAGGCCCTGGCCAGAAGGAGCTGGGGTGGGGACTGTCCAGACCTCCCCTTGTCCTTCTGGCAGGGAGTCCCCACCTACAGGTCTGTGCTTCTGCTGCTGTGGCACCAGGGCGGACAGGCCCATTGCCATGAGCTCACAGTCTCTCCATCTGCAGCTTCTCACGGCTCACTGAACCCACTCAGCTCTAAGCCTCACTGGCCAGGTCTCCTCCAATGACAGTGTGTGTCCCTGATTTGAGACTGCAGAGCTCCGTGTAACGGGAGCCTCTGACTGAGTGTGTACCCTGGCATTTTTGAAATCTTGTTGGCTAGAAGAGAGAAAACATCGCTCCAGTAAAGCTGCCAGCACTCTTCTGACTCATATTTCGGGGGAAGACACTAATGGGCCTTTGGTTTTGCAATAGTAATAGCAGAATTCTGTTCCGGCGTGGGGAAGTTTGAGGCATGACCGTGTAGGGATTATCATCACTGTGGGCAGAAGTTTATGGGGAGATGATTAAGTTGTTTGAGAAAGAGGCTGAGACTTGGATGGAGCCCAGAGAAGGCTGAGAGTAGGGGTCCTGCTCTGGGGAGAGGCATGCAAAGGCCCCGTTGCAGGGAGAGCAGGCCCGTGGCCCTGCAACAGGAGCTAAAGGGCAAGGCAGGGCCAGGAGAAGACCCCTTAGCAGGGCCCAGCCTAGGGACCACTGGAGCTCGGAGTTCCAGGATCCAGTTTTAATGCTTTTCTGTCCCACAATATGATTCCTGCTCAGGCCTTTACTAAAGTTTTGCTCAAGCTCATCCTCAAGTCTTGGCTGTTTTTTGGGGAACGGCCTGTGTCCACGTCTGGTGTGGCAGGGTGAGCATGGCTACAACCTGGAGAAGCTGGTTACAGGGGGACAAGAGGAGACCTACAGGGAATGGTGGGGTGGCCCAGGGTGAGAGATGGGCTGGGGCGTCCACCAGCATGGATTCATGGGGCATGTGAGCGTCCCTGGGCATTTCCAGGAATGTTGGGGGGGATCCTGGTAAACAGTACCTGGGATGCTCTGTGGGTATTCAAGGGCAGGCTGGGAACCTTGGGCACATGGAGGTGCACATGTCCCACAGACCCTGCAGGTAGGACTCAAAGGCAAGCGAGCCAGCTAAGGGGGTCAGGGCTCCTGGCTCCCTGTCTGTCCTCTGGCCAAGTGCCGCCCATTGCTCAGCTGGGCAAGACATTCCTCTGAGGTCATTTCCTGCCTCTCATTGCACCAGCCCTGCTGACCACCAGCCCCACCTTAGGCCAGCCCACTGCATTCTGCTACTTTCTGCCCATTCCATGTGGGTTCCACTGGCTCCACAATGAAGTCTAACTTTCAGATTCAAAAGACCACTGCTCTAGGCAGGATGGAGAAGAGGTAGCTTAACAGCAGTTCACATAAACTCAATACATGTCAACAATGTGATATGCTTGCCAGAAAAGCTAATGCATCAATAGAAGCACAGTGAGGTAGGTAGTTCCTTTCTCCTCAGTGCAGATCAGACAGACTTAGTCTCGCTTCAGATCCAAGCATCACGTTTGAAGAAGTGGGTTTTGTTCAGATAACGTACAGAAAAGTGAGCACTTAAAACCTGTTATGTGGAGGTGCCTTTGAAGACATATCTGTTAGAGACCAGCCAGATGCTTATCAATTCTGCTTCCTCTTCCTGCATACATAGGAAAACTACATTTCCCAGCCTCCATTGCGGTTAGGTTGGGGCCATGTGACTGGGATCTAGCCAATGGAGTGTGAGTAGCAAGGACCTCAACCCCTTCCAGTCCTAGCCATGAACCTCCTGTGAGATTCTCTTTGGGCTATTTCGGCTACCTGTGCAGACGGAAGGGGAAGACTCCAAGATGATGGAACCTCTTGATGGAAGGATCCTGAATCACTGCCAGAAAGCAGCCGCTCATTGGACTTTACATGAACAGGAGATAAAATTTTACTGTTTTAAGGCACTGTGATTTGGGGTATATTTGTTCCTGCAGCATAATCCAGCCTTGTCTAATACAAGCTTCGGAGGTTTAGCACTGAGAAGTGGGATATGAGAGTTGTCTTCAAATACCAGTGCCTGAAGGGCTGTGTGGCTCCAGAGGCCAGAACTAAGGTCAGTGGGAAAAGTGGTTCCTCTTTGGCTTGTTAGGAGTTAAGATTTTCTGCCCAACCTTGGAATGACTTGTCTTGGGTAGTAGCGATTGGTGTTACTGGTGGTATTTGCAGAGAAACTGGACCATCATTTTGGGGGGACATAGACGGGATCAGTCATGGAGACGGAATTGGATATCATGACCTCTACGGTACATTCCAACACTGATAGCTAATGTCTAATCCAGCAGTGTCCTTCTGAGGGTTGTTGAATTAAAGCAAATGGAATTGAAGTCCCCCCATTTCCCCAGAGCACCAGGCACCATTGTGACCCTAGGGTGATGGCCATCAAAGACCATCATCTTGCCAGATGAATTCCTGGAGGCTGCAGGATCACCAGCTGTGAGGAGCAAGTTTTTCAGAAAAGCATTGAACCAAGAGCGCCAGATTCTGGCTCTCTCTTGGTTGTACCAGCCAGAGGAAAGCAGCAGATGTGGAAGTATTCTGTGCTGAAAATTTCTCCCACTCTTTTCTGGCCAACCCACAGACCAATGTGTGTAAACAGGAAGATGAGCTCTCATCTTGCTAAGCAACACTGGTGAATAAGAAAGGAATCTAAATGCTTCTGCCACCTTTAGTCCAAACCAGATGGACCTTTTCCTCCACCCATTCTCTCAGGAGAAAAAAGAGTCTTAAGCTCCAATATGTCTTCACTTAGTCCATTTGGAAGAAGGATGACTCTTCCGGAACACTCTAGGACTCCAGGAATCTGACCCAGAGAGGGATTAAGTGACCAAAACCAAATTTACATTTTAATAAGATGCAGTTAATCCTGAGCGATAAACATGGCATCTGCCACTATTGAGAAGATGCTCGAGCCTAAAAATGCTGGTCAACAAATATGGGCCTCCCCAAACAAAACCCAAGCAGTGAGGACAGCCCCCGAGAGATGAGTGCAACAGGCCTTTCTGCTTGGCAATATTCTCTAGTGAGAAGGGGATAGTACAATCTGATCAAGCCCCCTCTCGCTGTGGGAAGCAGCTACTGAGCAGGTAGAAGGGGTCACGTGTCCAAGGACAGTGGGAGTGATATTCTCCAAACCACAGGCCTGGGCTCTGTCCTCAAAAGGGAGGTGGCCAAGTTAAGTCCCAGAGTGGATTTGCAACAACGTGCTGAAGAGCTGAAGACACTTTACGAATCTCAAGAGGAGGGAGAGAAGACCCTGCTTCACTTGAGGTCTTGACCCTTCTTGGCCACTGCTGGGTGATCAAGGGCAGATCCCCTAACTGCTCTGTTCAAGTTTTCTCTGAGAAGGTCAACCCCTGGACCTTCCTGATTCCTTTGGGTGTTTCAAGGGCCCTCTAGACCACCTGGTGTTGGAAGACATCCCCCTCCCTGATAAGGAAGGCAGCACACTCCAGCTGTGGCTGGTTACTTTGCTTTATTTGCAGACTCAAGTTTGCTACACAATTCCATTGCACAGTCCAACATTCACATACTTGGCATAAAAGAGAGGACGATACAAAAATACAACTCTTGATAGTAAACGGAACTGCCTTCAGCTCATCCCAGTCCATCCCAGTGGGAACGCCCATGTTGAAGGTCAAAAGAGGGGGAAATCCTGTGGAATGAGGAAGCCTGCAGGGCTTCAACCAGTGCCATTGCCCCAGTAAGATCCTGGGCTGACATTGGGTGGGCTCTTCTAGGCTGTGTGGCCATTTCTGCCACCTTCAGACCTGGTCACGTCCTCCTCCAGGAATGGGAAGAGAACCTCCCCGTGTTATGGGAGGCACTCCATAAGGGACAAGTGTAGCCCTGGGAGCCCAGTAACCACACTTCCCTGCGGCACATCCAGCCTGGGCTATCTGCCTCTGGGCACCCCTGATGGGAGGGTTAAGAGACGGGGTAGATCTACCTCTCAGAGAAGGGGGAAGAAAGGAGAACAGAGATTGAGGAAGAGATTCTCCCTGGCTCTCCCTTTAGCAGATTCCAGAAATGTTCTACTGATGCCAGTTTCTACATCTCCAGACTTGAGCCCACTTGAGCTGTGAGGAGCTCAAATCCCAGGCCTTTGAAGGAAGTCAAACTAGCCCAGCCCACTGATCAGGAAATCTGAAGGGCCAGCATTTCTGTAAAGGTGGGCAGGTCCCTGGAGCAGCAAGAAACTCTTCTGGTGCTTGGTATGTTTACCAGGGCAGGGGCTCAACATGGTCAGGCACAAAGTTGCAGGAGAGCTGAGCCCTGGACCCAGCCTTCCAGGACAGAACAAAAGATGGCGGTCAGTGCCCTGGGCTGCACATGGCCCACAGGCCCAGTATCACTCTCCAGGTGGGAGAGGTGGGACGTCTGGCAGAGGAGCAATGCTGGAGGACAGAGGAGGCAAGGTGAGCCCAGGGCCACCTCCTCTCCTTGTCACGGGGCCTGTTTACACCACAGTGGAGCTAAACCCCAGGCCTTTGGGCTGAGAGATGCCAGAGAGTGTGTCTCTGTTTTGTTTGTTTTGTTGTATCTGAGAACTTGGGGAGAATGACATGCTCCTCTCTGAGACTGCTAAACACTCCACAGTGTGTGTGGCAGGGGACAGAGGCGGGGGCTGGGGGGGTGGACACTGCCAGCAGTCATATGACCCTAGCCTCAGTGTCTTGGCACACAGTTGTCACGGGGACCCTGGCATTTTAACCATGAAAACACACACACAAACACATAGACACACACACACTCCCAGGCTGCCGGATCTGGTGCTTCTGGGCAGATGGAAACAAAATGAATTGGGAGGAATCTGTGTGTAGGGAACTTGGCTTTAGGCCTCTGTCCCGACACCTGAGCTTCAGTACTGACTTTATAAAGAACCACAGACGTCACTCCAGGGAGCCCCGGGGAGCCCTGGGATTTGTTTTCCATCAGCTCTGGGGCTTGAGGAATCCGCTCAACTCTCTCTGTGAAATTGTGATGGGGCTGGAGCTGGGATCTCTCTGCCTGTCACTACCCCCACCGTCCCCCCACACACACTCCCAGTGCCCCAAACGCCTCTCCACCTTCCTTCTCCTCATCCAACCTCCTGGCCCCACTCATCTTCCTTCCCACCCTTTGTGGGGTGGGACTCAAGAGTTAATCATGATGATACAGCTTCGTGTGTCACCTCCTCAGATGATACCATTGCATTTGGACGGGTGTCTTCTGTGACAACGATAGCACTGGAAGGCCCTGGCAGGTGCGTACCCAGGTATCCACTCTCATATCCCAACCCCCCTCCTCCATGTCCTTGCACTCTGCACCCCCAACCCCAGCTTCTCTCTGAAAACCTCCTGGAGGTGACAGTTCACTGTCTTCCTCCCAACAGCTGGCGGCAGACGACACTCGTGAGCTGACGGGGCTTATTCCCACATCCAACAGCCCCCTTGGGCTCAGCAACTGGGGCAGGCTCCCTGGAACCAGAGAGGTCTTGCTGCAGCCCAGGCCCCAGCCCAGTGACCCAGGCCCATTGTCCCCTCCCGCAGAAGGAGGCACCGGCACTTGGCAAAGTGGGCGGCGGCCGGCGGGCAAGCTCAGGCCTCACTTCGCCCCACATGTGAGTGACCCCGGCTAGGCCAGCCCGCCCGTGGGGGACCCTCCCACTGCAGATGAGTTAGGGGTCTGGAAGGCCGAGTGGAGCTTCATTAACAGCTCCGGCTCCTCAGTTTTCCCAGAGGCCTCGGGGGCGCCCAGCGGGTAGGCCTCCCTGGCCCGGCCGGTCCTGGAGCAGGTGAGGAGGGCCAGGCAGGCCCCCCGGAGGCGGGCCAAGTCCCGGTGGGTGGTCTCGCTGACGAAGCAGTACAGCACGGGGTCGGCGACGCAGTTGAAGCTGGTGAGGAGCAGGGAGAAGTGGTAGGCGTTGAAGATGCCCTTGGCGAACTCGCAGCTGGACTCCCAGAGGCTGCGCACGAGCAGCAGCACGTGGTACGGCAGGAAGCAGGCCAGGAAGATGACCACGGTGCTGAGCACCAGCCGCTGGATCTGGTCCTTGCGGCTCTTCTGGGTGCCGTGGCTCCGGCGCACGGCCCGCAGGATGCCCAGGTAGGAGGCCAGCAGCAGGCAGATGGGGAAGAGGAAGCCCACCAGGAAGCGGTAGTAGTTGATGTTGCGTTGCCATGGCTGCAGGGGGTAGTGCTCGAAGCAGACGCGGTGCTGGTCCTCGTCCTCCACGACCTCCTTGTGCATGAGGAAGTAGACGCTGGTCAGCAGCTCCTTGACCCAGATGACCACGCTGACGCCCACGGCGGCCTTCAGCGTGCGGAACTGGTGGAAGCGAAAGGGATGGGCCACGGCCAGGTAGCGGTCGATGGAGATGCAGCAGAGGAAGCCCACGCTGATGTAGATGTTCTCGTAGAGGAGGATGCCGCACACCTGGCAGGACAGGTCGCCGTGCGACCAGTGGTCGTGCTGCAGCACGTACTGCAGCCAGAAGGGGAGCGAGCAGATGTAGAAGAGGTCGGCCACCGTCAGGTTGCACAGGTACACGCCCAGCTCGTTCCGGGCCTTGATCTGCAGGTAGCCGAAGTAGAGGGACAGGCAGTTGGCTGGGAAGCCCACCACCAGCACTGTGACATAGACCACCGGGGCCAGCGTCTGGTGGATGGTGTGGTCGATGGTACAGCTCAGTGAAGAGTTGTCTGCAGTGATGTTCCCCATCTTCGGGCCTGAAGGGGCCTCACCCCTCATGGGCTCAGAGAATGGGCCAGTCTCCCTGCTGCCATCTTGTTTATAGGCTGTGGTGCAAGCTGTATCAAAGGCCGGGCCTCATCGGTGGTGGGTGAGCCCCTGAAAACTGAAGGTGGGAAAGACATAGAATAATGGGAGCTAACATTGATCCAGCACCTATCGTGTGTCAGGCACTATTCTATGTGCCTCAGTTCATTTAGAAGAAAATGATCCAGCCAACCAACTCCAACTCAACTAGGATAGCTGAATGAGTGACACACCAAGACACAGCAACGTGGCTCATGTCTCCCCATCCCCCTTCCCTGGCTTCCTGTTTCTTATTATTTTCCTGGTCCCTCAGTGCAGCAAGCAAGCCCGGGAGCTCTTGCGAGCATGAGCCCATCCCGAGCCCGGCTCTCCAAGGGAAGCTCGAGGCAAAGATGAATTCCAACCCACATGCAACAATGAGGGCCCCAGACACGCTCTTCCACAGCAATAAACATCATTCACGTTTTTCCTACTTGCTTATGGGAAAGTACGAGGTTGGTCAACACCGAGGCTGCAGCCTCTCCGGGGGCCTCTCCAGATAGCACAGAAGAGGACAAGCCTTGTCCACACCCCACCGTGCTCTGGGAAGAAACAAAGGCCGAGCTTCCCGCAGGGCATTGCCTGGATTCCTGGGTGCTCATCAGAAGGTACCACCTCTCCTCTCCTCCGCGGAGCTTGGGGACCCAGCGTGGGGGACAGCACAGGACCAGGGACTGAAGATGTGAGCACCAGGTCAGGGTCAGCTGCTTACAAACTGTGCAAGTCATTCACCCTCTCTGAGACTCAGTTTCCGCCTCTGTAAAATGGGGATAAAATCACCTCCCCCAGGATCAGTATCAGGGTCACATAAAATGATGATGTCAAAATGCACGGCATTGTTTTTCCAGAGGCAAAGAGGTGCAATAAAAGATGGTAATCTTACTCAAAGGAGTGAAAAGTTCATGCTGTGAGAATTTAACAAAGGAAATGCTATATATACAAATATGTTTGAATAAGATAGAATAAAATTTTTTGTTGTAAGCCTACTTTATAAATTAATATATCAAAACAAAAGGCCTGGGCCGGCCCCGTGGCTTAGCGGTTAAGTGCGTGCGCTCCGCTGCTGGTGGTCCGGGTTCGGATCCCAGGCACGCATCGACGCACCACTTCTCCGGCCATGCTGAGGCGGCGTCCCACATACAACAACTAGAAGGATGTGTGGCTATGACATACAACTATCTACTGAGGCTTTGGGGGAAAATAAATAAATAAATAAAAATTATTAAAAAAAAAACAAAAACACGAAAGGCCTGAGCTGCTCAATTGATTTCACACTTCTGGCTCAGATGAAAAATCTCACTGTGTCTAAATCAGGATTTTTTAACCTTTTTTTTTTTTAAATAATCATCCTCCCAAGGAGCCTTTTTAGACCGTTTTTTCTAACCACACCCCCCTCCATGAAATTTTAATACCCCATGTCTACTGCATATCTATCTGTTTAAGTAACGTGACCCGTTGAGAGTGACAAATCACTGTAATATCTACAATTTTTTTCACCCCACCCAAGAACCAATTTTCACCCCTCCTTGAGAATGCGTAGTCTGTATGGCTGCAAATTCTGAATGAGTAGGGCCTGAATTAAGCTGTTTTGTGGTATCAGCAGATCAACCCTACGCTTTGCTGTCTCTTCACCATAGTCAAGCTGGGACTCATGGACCAGAAGGGAAATCCCTCAGAGTCTACCACCAACCAACATCTCATCACCCGCTGACCAGAGCACCTCCCTCCACAGTCTCCCTCCTGCCAGCTCTGTCATGGGTCCTGCCTGGCCCTGTGGCCACGGGAGCCAGGGCTCAGCCTGGAAGCTGGCGCAGCATGCTGGGAAGGGGCTCAGAGACATCCAGCCCAGCAGTCCCAGTCCTGGGGTTCATGGAGGATAAACTTGAGGGGCTCCCCTGAATTCACATGCTCAATCTTGTAAATATATAAGTATGTGCATTTTTCCTGGGAAAGGGGCCTGTAGCTTTCATAAGTGTCTCTAAAATGGGCAAGAGAGGGGCCTGGTCCAAAGCTACCCCCTTCTCAGCTGGACTCCCTGTGGCTCTCTCCATGGCCAAGCCTCCCCCACTCTAGCTCTCCCACTCCAGCCCCTGACCATTACCCACACAGCAGCCACAGCAATCTTTCTAAAATGCAAACCAGAGGGCCGGCCCTGTGGCTTGGTGGTTAAGTGCGCGCGCTGCGATGCTGGTGGCCCGGGTTCGGATCCCGGGTGCGCATCGAGGCACCACTTCTCCGTTCATCCTGAGGCCGAGTCCCGCATGCAGCAACTAGAAGGATGTGCAGCTACGACATACAACTATCCACTGGGGCTTTGGGGGGAAAAAATAAAATAAATAAAATCTTTAAAAAAAAAAATAAAATGCAAACCAGATCCTCCTCTGCCTCACTTAAAACCCACTGAGACGGTTTCTTATCACACCCACGATAAAACCCAAACTCCTTTCGAGACCTACAAGGCCCAGCATGATCTGGCACCAGCTCCCCCTACCTTGCCCACCATCACCACACTCCAGCCACACCGGCCAGCTTTCCGTGCCCCAGTCGCCTGGCCTCGCTCCTGCCTCAGGCCTTTGCGTCAGCAGCTGCATCTCCTGGAGTGCTGCCCCCTGCCCGCCTCCTACCCCCATCACAGGGCCAGCTCCTTTGCCACCAGATCTCAGCTTAAATGTCACCTCTTTGTGAGGCCTTCCTTGACCACTCCACTTAAAGCAGCTCCCTCCCCAGTCACCAGCTTTGATTGCTCTGCAGTGCTCCCATCAGCATCTGAGAGTTCTCCATGTTTATTTACTTGTCTGCTTCTTGATGATCTGTCTCCTCCACGAGGACGTAAATTCCAAGAGGGGAGAGGCCCTGTGCACCCTGAACAGTGCCTGGCACATCATAGGCATTCATGAATACTTCTGGAATGAAGGAGTGAATGCCCCCTCCCCATTTTACAGGTGAGGAAACTGAGGTTCCAAAGGGGAAGTGACTTGCCCAAAGCCAGCCTGAGGAAAGAAGCACAGGCATTAGAATCCAGGTCTCCTTGTTTCACGCCCACCTCCCTGCCACATCCAGTCCCACCTGAGACTCACCCCCAACCTCTCGGTCCCCGGAAGACGAGGACTCCCAGTCAGGCTCACCTCCCCGTCCTCTCCAGGGCACAGGCCTGGAGTTTCAGTGATGGTGGTGGAGGGGAGGTGCTTCCTGTTGTTTTTAAGTGTGGTTAAATACATATAACATAAAATGTACCATTTTTCGCCATGTTTAAGCATACAGTTCAGTGGCATTAACTACATTCACATTGTTGTGCAACCATCACCACCATCCATCTCCAGAACTTGTTCGTCTCCCCAAACTGAAACTCTGTACTCATTGAACACTAATTGTCCATTCCACCCTCCCCCCAGCCCCTGACAACCACCATTCTACTTTCTGTCTCTATCAGTTTGACTATTCTAGGCATCTCGTATAAGTGGAATCATATAGTAGTTGTCCTTTTGTGACAGGCTTATTTCACTTAGTGAAACGTCCTCAAGGTTCATGCATGTTGTAGCATGTGACAGGATCTTCTCCCTTATTAAGGCTGAATAATATTCCATTGTATGTACAGACCACATTTTGTTAATCCATTCATTTGTTAACGGACATTTAGGTTGTTTCTGCCTTTCGGCTATTGAGAATAATGCTGCTATGATCATGTATGTACAAATATCTGAGTCCCTGCTTTCAATTCTTTTGGATATATACCCAGAAGTGGAATTGCTGGATCATACGGTAATTCTATTTTTAATTTTTTGAGGAACCACCATTCTGTTTTCCACAGCAGCTGTACCATTTTACACTCCTACCAGCAAAGCAAAAGATTTTTGTTTCTGCTTATATGTTTTGATGGTGAGAGGAAGGGAGAGGGGGCAGCTGAGGCCTGTGACCCCTAAACTCTGCCCACAGCCCAGCAAGTCAGAATTCGGCCCCACTCTCCCTCCTCTTCCCAGCTCTCTGTCCCTGAACCCCAAGCCCACACCTGTGGGGCCAAACGGTTCACCTGGTTTAGATATGAGGAAGGCCACAGCAGCACAGGTCCCCGAACAGTCCCTAGGGGCACCCACCCAGGATCTTCCATGTCTCTGAATTTACCTCAGGTTCTCCATAGCCCAGATAAAATCCACCCACAGGAAGATCAAATTCACTCATAAGCCCAGGTCCCCAGATGCCAACAAAACAGGGCAAATGAAGACATAAAGAAAACATGTGCTGTCAGGCCTTAGGAATTCAATGAGAGTCACCAGGCCTGAAGCCTATTGTTTACTAGTGGTGAGTGAATGCATGTGTAGGGGGCACTGGGACAACGGCTTGTAGCTTCCTCTTTCCTAGGCCAACAATAAGCAAATTCTGGCAACCGGAGTTAGAAATTCTCAGCCTGCAGGGCAAAGAAAAAACATTCACTATGTTTAGATTAAAGCACCTTCTACGTTCACTTTGGAGGGTTTTGAATTCTAGAGCAGTGGTTCTCAAACTTAAGTGCATCTGAGTCACCTGGAGGATCTGTTTAACATTACTGAGCCCCACCTCCAGAGTTTCTGACTCAGTGAGTCTGAGGTAGGGCTCAAGAATTTGCAACAGGCTCCCAGGTGATTCTGCTGCTGCTGGTCCACGGACCACACTTTGAGTAGCAAGGCACTCAAAGGTCTAGAAGATCTGGTAAGTGTCCTACATGAGTTCTCAGGCTGGAGAACAAAGGTGGCTGGAAGGGGAACTTGAGACCCAGAAGAACCTTGTGGGCAGAACCAGGAGGCAGCCCTTGGGAGATAACAGCCTCTCAAGAAATAGTGACTAGGGCCGGCTCCGTGGCTTAGCGGTTAAGTGCGCAAGCTCTGATGCTGGCGGCCCGGGTTCGGATCCTGGGCGCGCCCCGAGGCACCACTTCTCCGTCCAACGTGAGGCCGAGTCCCACGTACAGCAACTAGAGGGATGTGAACCTATGACATACAGCTATCTACTGGGGCTTTGGGGGGAAAAACTGAATAAATAAAATCTTTAAAAAA